AATGAATGAAGCATTTGTCACAGGAAGTTAAAAAAAGAACAAGAGGGCGGGGGATTTAGCTCAGTGGTGTCACAGACTGTCTTGCAAGCACAAGGTCCTGAATTCAATCGGAGGAGGAGCGGGGGGAGGGGGAGGAGGAGGAGGAGAAAGTGAATCTGAAAAAGTAAAATAAGGAAACAATAAAAAAGCAGAAATTAATGGTGTAGAAATAATGCATACATTAGACATGATCCATAAACACAGTCATTTCTTTGGAAAAACCAAGCATGTGTGTAATCCTGGAGAAACTAGTCAAGAAGCAAAGAGGAAAAAAACACCTTTAAGAACAATGGACAAAGATCAGTTTCAACAGAAGTTTAAAACCTTATTGGGGATTTCACAACTTTAATGGGGAAAATTGGAAAATTAAAATGAAAGAGATAAGTTATTCAGTAAAAACAAAGTGACACAAAAACATTCTGGGGATTTTAAAACATTTCACTCAAAAATTATCATCATCCGTCCAGCGCACATCTTGTGGCAGTGTCGCGCGGAGCCCCATTGGCCAGGGAGGCGCCTGAGCCGCGCGGGAGGAGCCTCAGTCTCTGGCCGTGTCTGAGCCGCTGGGAGCCCTGGACCATCCAGACGCGGCTGGACGGAGCACACAAGGACACCGAGGGCCAGGACAGCACGGACCATGGCGCTGAAGCAGATTAATAAAGAACTTAGTGATTTGGCCCGTGACCCTCCAGCACCATGTTCTGCAGGCCCAGTTGAGGATGACATGTTCCATTGGCAAGCCACAATTATAGGACCAAATGACAGCCCATATCAAGGTGGTGTTGTGAGACTGCATAACCTTTGCCCCTTTTTCTCCAGCCTCATTGTGATTAAAATGTGAGTTAATAGATGGAGATGTTTGTTAGTCTAGGGAGGCTAGATCCTCCAGCCCCATTGTGATTAAAATGTGAGTTAATAGATGGAGATGTTTGTTAGTCTAGAGATGCTAGATAGGGATCTGCAACCGACCTAGGGTCCCAGAGTAAACTACTCAACTCTTTGTTTATCCGGAACTGATATTCCAGGCACCACAATTGTTAGAACAAGCTGCAGATGTCTGCTAACCATCAATATGTGACAGTCGACCACTAACCTTTGTCCCCTTTTCTTTGATATGTTAACTTCTCCCTCAACCCCCTATAAAAACAGCCTCGATTCTGAGCCAATTGCCTCTCTAAGCTATTTTGCTTCGGGAGTGCCATCTGGCCAGACTAATAAAGGTTTGTTTCCCAACTTGGCCGGTGTGTTCCTTCCCGGGTGGTCTTCGCTGTAGCCAGCTCCTTGGAGCGTTTGGTAAGGCTCTTGGTCTTACATTCTGAAGGCACCGCTGGGATTCCTGGGTGTGCTTCACTATAGTCAGCTCCTCGGAGCGTTTGGTAAGGCCCTCAGTCTTACAGTGTATTCTTTTTGACAATTCATTTTCCTACAGACCACCCCTTCAAACCACCTAAGGTTGCATTTACAACAAGAATTTATCATCCAAATATTAACAGTAATGGCAGCATTTGTCTCGATATCCTAAGATCACAGTGGTCTCCTGCTTGAACTATTTCTAAAGTTCTTTTATCCATTTGTTCACTGCTATGTGATCCAAACCCAGATGACCCCCTAGTGCCAGAGATTGCACGAATCTATAAAACAGACAGAGACAAGTACAACAGAATATCTCGAGAATGGACTCAGAAGTATGCCATGTGATGCTACCTTAAAATCAGAATAACCTGCATTATAGCTGGAGTGAACTTTAAATTACTGTTCCTTTTTTGATTTTCTTATCCGGCTGCTCCCCTATCAGACCTCATCTTTTTTAATTTTATTGTTTGTGCCTCCCTCCGTTCATTCACATGCTCATCGGAGAAGACAAGCTATTTCAGCTTTGGACAATAACTGCTTTTAGAAACTGTAAAGTAGTTACAAGAGAACAGTTGCCCAAGATTCAGAATTTTTTTTAAAAAATGGAGCATGTGTATTATGTGGCCAGTGTCTTCACTCTACCTCGGTTATGAGACTAAACCATTCCTCATAGCTCTAACTAACTGCTGAAGAAGCCACCTGAGGGGGAGATGGATGCTCTGTTGTCAAGGCAAGGAAGCAGCATTATTCTAGCAGCATCCATTCTTGTTAAGCCTTCCACTGTTAGAGATTTGAGGTTAAGTGATATACTGTATGCTTCTAACTGATGTGGCTGGAGAATTGGTATTGAATTTATAGCATCAGCAGAACAGAAAATGTGATGTATTTTATGCATGTCAATAAAAGAATGACCTGTTCTTGTTCTACAGGGAATAGAAATTGGAACTCAAGCACCCTTTGTATTCCAAAATAGGGCCTCAAAACATTTTGTAATTTTCATTTAAATTGTTAGGAGCCTTGGAGCTATTAGTTGATCTATCTTCCAAAACACTGTTTAATATAGCACTGAGTAAATGATGCAAGTTGTCAATAGATGAGTGATCAACTAATAGCTCTGCTAGTAATTGATTTATTTTTCTTCAACGAAGTTGCATAAACCAAAAAAAGAAAATTATCGTCAATTCACAGGATATTCCCCATGCCTTATATCTCCTCCCCCAGCAACGTCAGGGGACAGTGACATCTTCCATTTGGCACCACTGTGTGACCAGAGTGGACTCACACTGAGCAGCAAGTCACTGTATCATGAGAATGGAAACTACAGAGCAGCACCCCCAGTACTTGCATGGACAGCTGCCCTGTGCTCACAGCTACCATCTTCCCTACACCGCTAGCTCTGGGCAACATCTAGACCATTCTCAGCTGGACCATGTTGCTGCATTTGAAATGTTACAGGATTGGAGTCATGCAGAGCATGGCCTTGCAAACTGACTCTTCACACAACCTAAGCCCTCAAGCCCCCACAAGGTGTGCTGAATACCACCCCCACCTATGGACACACACCATTATTTCACGAACAGATATCTAATTGCTCCCATGCCAACTGTGAGGGGCCATCTGTTCCTCACGATTGCTTGTGCACTTGTGGGATGTTATTTCTGACTTCAGCGCTCAGGCTCTATCTCTTCTGTGCACGCCCCTCATCCTCTAGACTGAATGGAGCTACCTGCAAGAGACCCAAGACCTGCCCTGTGAACTAGTCCCTCCCCTCCCAGGCCCAAGGCCTATTCCCTCTTTATAAAACACTAGTCTCCCTCTCCCTCTCTCTCTCTTTCCCTGGGTCATGGGGTCACAGGGAAGGATGAGAGCCTCTTATGAGGGGGGTTAAGAGAATGACTTGAGGAGGACAGGAGGTCAGGCACTGGAGAGCAGCGAGAGCAGGTGGGGACCAGCAAGCACATGCTGCCTTGTTCTGCAGGGCAGAGGGCAGGGTCTCCCACATGGGAATGAAGGCTTTCTCTGCTACCTGCCACATGAGAGGGACCCTAAGGAGACACTGGCTGAGTGTGAGCAGCTCCACAGCTTTTGAGGGTGCAAGCTTGTGGCTGACCATGACAGATCAGGGCAGGAGGGAAGCTGGGGGCCGTCTGGCCCTCCACTGTCCCTCCTCCTCTGTAGGCTGGTGTGGGAGGGACAGGAGTGCTAAACACTCTCGTGGTCAACTTTCTTCCCATTTGTTTTAAACAGTGCGAATTTGTCTTCTCTTTAGGGCTTTGTAGGCCTAAATCCCAATAGTCTCAGTCAAGCATCATCAGGGCCACATCTCATCTTGGGGGAAGACTCCACTGCCCCTTGGGTGTGCTGTGGGAGCTGCTTGCCCTGGACATTGCCCACATCCCTCCTGGCTCTTTCCAAATGGCCGCCAGCAAAGATGGAGGTTCCTCTGCACATCTTCAGCCTGGCTTCTCTTCAGCTACATCTTGCCACCAGCTGGAGAAAGCTCTGGCTTTTCTCCCCCAAACACTGCACCAATTTGGGCACCTTGGACAATTTTCCTAAGGTCAGGCAGGGTTCGAGGCCTGCTCTCAGTCATATCCCATGGAGACTGTATTCACCACCTTAGTTCAAGGGTTAACCCTCCTTATTCACTCACAGGTTTTTGGATTAAGCAAACAAAAAATACAAGATACCCAGTTAAATCTGAGTCTTAGAGAAATAGTAAGTAATTATTTTGACTAACATTTGGGACATACTCATGCTAAACATTTGCTTATTGTTTATCAGAATAGATCCCCTGATTAGGTCACCAAATCCAAAGAGGCAGTGGCTGTCCCTCTGTGTGACATCGCAGGAATGGTAGTATCCAGCACAGGCTGGCCCGCATGGGAAGCCAGGACATTCACAGAACCATAACTCCTGCCTGAGCCTAGCCCTGAGCCTGTGCAGTGAGCAGCACTCACCTCCAGGTGACACTAGGCCAGCAGGGCAGAGCTGCACTCCATTGAGAGCACCTGCCAGCCGACCCTCCTCTGTCCCTGTTCCCCTAGCCCCAGAAGTGCTCCTGAGAGATTTAGGGGACCCATTCTGTGCCCAAGCACCAGCCCTGAGGCAACCCTCCCTCCTACCTCCAAGAGACACCTCCACCCCAAGCTAGGCCAGCACTGAGCCCCAGCCAGCAGGCAGACATGGCAGGTGTGGGAAAACCTGACCTAACCCCAATGGTGTCTGTTGGCAAGGCCCCTGGAGCCATGTGATAAGAGTCCTGCTGGAAAGGCAGAGAACCAGACGCTGGGTGGGCCAGCCCCTGTTTGGCCACACATGGTCTAGGAACATCCCCCGAGGCCAGGGTACTGGGCAGAGTGTTATAGGGACTTTGGCTGGGGCAGATGACAGAGAAACTAAGCCCTAGTGCTGGGTGAGCAGGGGGATTTATTAACTTCCAAGAGAGGGTCAGCCCAGACGTATGGGACAGCAGTGGCCCAGGGAAGTAGGTGTAGGATGGAGCCTTGGACTCTGTCCCCTACCCCAGATGTCCCTGTGACCCCAGAGCCCAGAGTAGCAAGCAGCAGAGCCTAGACTGAAGCCTGGCTGTAAAGGCAGATGGCCTCTCAGGGAATGTGGGTCTGAAGGTCATGGGCGCAGAGATAAAGTGAGGCCACACAGGTGCCCTACCTGTCCAGGGGACTCACAGGGTCAAAGGCAGCCCCCCACCCTGGCCTCAGGGCTAAAAACCACTGCAGAATTCCTATAACTCACTGTTAATGTGGTCCCAAAGTAGGAGCCTGGTCCAGCTAGCACAGAAGAGGGGCCCGGGAACAGAGGGGCCCAGAGGAAGCTCAACCCCAGGCTGAACAGGAGCCCCCCCACCAGGGTCTAGGCACTGCCCCCCACTAGGACTCCAACATTGCAGAGATCCTTCTTGCAACAAGTAATTTTGAAATTGGTGGTGAGGCCACCGAATGTCATACTTAAGTCAGACTTCTTGGGGCAGACTGGAAGGCAGACCTTATTCTCCAGTCTCACAGTGTCAGATTCTGTAAGGAAGTAGGGTGACCTTAGGGCCCCATGCAAGGACTACTCAGTCCAGAACCCCAAGGCCTGAGGCTTTCACCACCCAGGCCCAGATGGCCGGGATAGAGCCTGTGTGTACCCTTTGACTAAGGACCACTGAAGCACAAAGCCTCCTTGGGCTCCAGCTCTTCCCTCAGAGACCCCCACCAGGACCCCAGGCTGTGGAAGGCAGGCAGATATGCTGGGGACGGGGCTCTGCCTGTCCTGTCACTCTAGAGGACGTGCCTGGGACAGACACAATCCAGGGAGCTGGCTGTGTCCAGAGTGTCCTCTCTGCCCCCTCCAGTGCCTGGCGTACATTCCACCATTCCTGAGTGATTCCTCTGGCTTGCAGTCCCTACCTCTGGGTTCCTCCAGCAGATGTAGTAACTCACTAAATGGTCACACCCCACTCCTGGTGAGCTCCTTGGCAAGCCTGAGAGAACTTCAGTGGGGACCACAGAGACTTTCAAGAAGTGAGACAGGGCCCTGCAGAGGATGCTAGAAATGGGGCAGTGATTTCCTCAGCAACAGAGGCCACATGACAATCTCTAGAGGCCTCAGCCCTGGTCCCAGAGTGCTGGGCAGTTTGGAGGAGGCTATTCCTCCAAAAGTCACCTCCCTCCCTGGGGGCTGCTGTCCCCCCTCTCTGGCACCACCCACTCTGGAACTCACCCACGGTGAAGTTTCCCTCTAGACTGACCCAGATCCCGTCCCCTCCAGGGTAGGAGCATGTGACCTGCTCACAAGTCTTCGTGTGGGTGTAGTTCTGGCATTGGTAGCAGCGCAAACCCTGGGTTGGGGAGAAAACAGGCCTATGAGGCCCCAGAGGGGCTTCCCATCTGAGCTTGCAGGGGTGCCTGCAGCCCACACCGCCCCCACACTGCACTGTGCCAATGAGTCTGAGGCCTGGGAGGACAGAGCAGGCCTGCTCTTGGTTCAGTTGTACAAACGCTGAGGGCTCTGCTAGGCTCAACCCACCCAGCCCAGAGCATCTCCTGGTGACCTCCATGTCACAGACGAGGGACCCGACCCCAGAGAGTCATGCTACTGAGTTGTCCAGTCACCACTGCACGGTTGGGCATCCCACCTTTGTTGAATGGGTAGATGAGTGAATAGACCCTGGAGAGAGCTCTCCGTCTGGCCCTTGGTTCTGTCTCCATTGCTGGGTCTGGGGCCAGTTCAAGGCCTTTCTCTCTCTTTCCCCATGCCAGTTAGCAGCACCTCTAGCTGGGCTCTTCAGGCCCTAGGGACTACTCCTGGCCACCACCCACAGTGGATCTGGAGCAGGGTGGTATGGTTGGATACTTCTGAGAGCTCCAGGACAGTCTGTGGTACTGGACAGTTTCAGCATTTGTATCCTCAGGTGATGAGGAGGGGGCAAGATCAGATGTCCTGTGTGTCAGAGAGCGGGCCACCTTGATTTGGGGCGGGGCAGGCAAAGCAGGATGGGAACCCTGTGCTTCTCCACAGGCCTACTGGCCAGAGGCCTACAAGGTCAGGCCAGGGTGGAGCTGAGGAGGCCAGAGGAGGTCAACCTGGTTGCTAGGCCACAAGGGAGAGAGGTCCCAGGGGGCAGGAGGCCACTGTGACTTCCATGCAAATTCCACAGAGGAAGGACATCCCCAGAGTGGCTGGAGTGGAAGCCAGTGAGAGAGAGAGGCCTGAAGCCCTGGGGACTGGGAGTGATTACTGGTGGCTGGAGGAAGCAGGGCAGGCTCAGTGTGCTGCACTACCTGCTGCCCTGCCCTTCCTGGGGCAGGACAGCACCGCCAGGCCGTCTAGAAGCACACCTCTGCCCACTGTGCCCAGCTCAGCAAACCCACCCAGGCACACACACCTTCTCCAGCCTCATAGCCTCTTAGCACAGGGGCTGGAGTCCTCAAACCCATCCTCCTTGTCCTAGATGCACTGCCACCAAACACATGCCCCCAAGCCACAAGATGTGCCACAGACAGGAGCACATGGCACAGCACAAGCAGCACACAGGGCAGAAACAGGACCTCAGCAGGCCAACACCCACCCACCAGTGCCAACCTGGGGTACCAGGAACACCCTAGAAAAGCAGTGCACCTGGAAGTCCCTCCTGTCCCCTCGCCTGTCTCTGCACACAGCAGGGCCACCAGCAGCACCAAGGCACAGGGCTTCATGGCCGGGTAACTGTTCATCCTAGGACGAGGGGTATGCAGAAAAACTCCGGCAGACTAGAGCAACCACTCCCACCCCTACCCCAATGATACATGCCCCAGACAGGGTCAGAAAATGCAGGGTGTCAAGCTCTTCCTCTCCCATATTCCATACAGCTCTGAGAGGCATGAGGGGAGCTCTGTCTCCTCCTCCTACCACCCCCTTCATACCTTGGCCCTGAAAGTCCCATCCATAGCCCTAACTCTGCCCTGTCCTGGGTGCTCCCTCCTCCTTGGCCTGCCACCCAGCAGCCCCCGACAACACCTCTCCTGTCCTGTCTCTGGCCAGTCTGGCAACAACTAGCTAAGGAGCAGCTCTCCCAAGAAGTGGGGCTGAGGCAGGGTTTACCTTGACCTCCCCTGACACAACAGGGCTTTCCTGTTTGCAGAGACTTCCTGCCGGTCCCCTGGCCCTTGCGCAAGAACTGGCAGTGTCTCATGCCTCATGCCCCAGGGTCCAAGCAGGCTGGCCACAAGGACACACAGGCCTTCCCCACCCATTGGCACAGGTGCGCCGAGACGCACCTGCACTGTGGGTGGGGCCCATCCATTGTCTGCTCCTGTCCGTCCCTCCATTCCCAACAAGTGCATGTGGCTTGGCGTTGTCAGAGCTACTAACATCTCTTGTTCAGCCCAGGGAGCAACTGGTGGAAGGACTCCTGAGTGGGACCCCATCGTGAGTCCCTGACTCTATGAGCAGAACCTAGGGTGAGAGACCCCCACAGAGAGTCCTGAGCAAAGGTAACTCTGCCCTACTCCAGGGCTGTCATGGCTAGGGTAGGGGTATTACTGGCATCTTGTGAGTGAAACAATGTAACGATGCTTTGCTCTCCTTGGCAGCCAAGTGAGGGTGTGCTGGGTTGAGCCAAGGGTTGGAAAGCTGCATGACCATAACCCTGTGAACCCCAGGGTGTCCCAAAGGGGGCACAAGTTTCCTCAGCTTTCATGTCACTACAATATGACATGATATTCATATGAATTAAAAATCCAGTTATTTCTCAACTAGCATCTATTGCCAGGTCCCTGGTCAGGCACCAGAGGCCCTGCAGGAGGCCAGGCATCAGAGTTCCCACTTCATGGAACCTAAAGCCCAGGGTGCTCTCCAAATGCCTGCCACTGATGGCAGGCGAGGGACGTATGGCAGGGTGGTGAGGGATCCGAGCTGGAGCACCTCTCTGAGCCCACCTGAGGCCAGGGGAAAAGCATGTGTGCTCAGTGTGCCACTAACTCCCAACAAGGAACAAGGACACGGGGAGCCAGGCATGCCTGTGTCCCTCATCTGACTCTCCAAAAGAAAAGAGGAAGGAGGTGGGAGGACACTGGGCCCAGAGGGCTCAGAATGTCCCTCCTGGTAGAAGCCAAAGGGTAGGGATGAGGTTTTCTTTCTTTGTAGGAAATAACCCAGCTATTCTTGCTGCCTCATGCATTCATACCTGCAGCTCCAGGGTCCAAGTGTGTGGTCAGTGTCCAGTCCTTGCCCCTAAACCCAGGGCAGACCCTCCCAGTTACCTGCAGAATTAACTGACCTCACTCATCACCAACCACACTTCCAAACCAGGCAGTGGAAGGGAACCAAAGGAAAGGAGAAAGAAGCCCCGTTCAACTCACATGCACAAATGTCACCCACACGTCAACTGACATATAGTGCAATCTGGCTGAATATATTTAAGTGTAAGGGGGGTAGCCATACACACATCTACTTCTCTGTACCAATGTTTCTAAAGTCACAGGTTCTAACCGACACCTTTGTTTCCCCCCCAACACCCTTCATTCACTCTGCCCTGGCTCCTTTGCTTATTCACTTCTTTCTCCAACAGTGAAATCTGACCCATTATCCACAACATATTCAGTTAGTCATTCCGTTCTCAAACAGAGAACTTTAGAACGGCTAATCCTCACTTCTGTGAAAACAGAACCTACTGGCCAGAATTCAGTGTTTCCCTCACTCTCTTTCTGCCTTTCACACAGAGGATGAGGTCCAAACCATGTGGTGAAAGCTCTGGGATTAAGCTTTTCCTCTCTTTTGTGTGGCTATTATTCATTGAAAAAATAGTTTCGTTCATTTGTTTCTCTTCTTCCATCTACCATCTGTAATACGTTTCATTCTTTTTTTTAAAATTTCCATTCAGTGGTATCAAAGTCAGAATTGCACAAGAAGGCGTCCTGGGAGGGAAGACTTTCTCTCCTGGTCTCTGCCCCACCACCCTGCATGCACGTCCTGCCCTGCCTGCCTGTGGTCCCCACCAGCCCTGCAGCTCCCTGGGTTGTCTTCATGCTTTTGTTTTTTCAAAATTAAGCTGAGATCTGTCTTCTTTCTTATTCTCCCTTTCTTTCACACAAGCTAGCTGCTGTAGATAGCTGCTGCTGTAGAGATCCCAACGGTTAGTTACTCTGTAACAAACAGGTTGGTTGTTCCAGGTTTGATTCTTTTTCTTTTTTTTGGTACCAGATCCTGAACTCAGGACCTTGTGCTTGGGAGGCAGGCGGCAGCACCACTGAGCTAAATCCGCAGCCCTGTTCCAGATTTGAGTCTCAAGAATAAACACAGCTCTAGGGCTGGGGATTTAGCTCAGTGGTTCCGCCGCCTGCCTTGCAAGTGCAAGGTCCCGAGTTGGATCCCCGGTACCAAAAAAAAATAAAAATAAAAGAATAACACAGCTCTGACGCTAGGGAGCATTGATCTTGGTGGATGTAGTTCTCGGAGTGTACACCCAGTGGTGGATTCCTGAATCACAGAGTGTGTGTATGTTTTAGAAGACAATGCCAAGCTGGTTTTCAAGTGAGTTCACCCATCTGCTCCCATACCGAGGAACGCACCTAGGAGAGCTTTGATTGCCCAACTTTCTCAGAATATTTGCTCTTTTCGTACTTTTCCTACCAGGGACTCTGTTTTACATTCTCTCTTACTGATGCTATTTATTGTAATAGGCTTGTTAGCCATGTGAATAGGCTCTTTTTAAGATGCCTGCTTAAATTTGTTTAATTTTGATTTTTATTTCTATGTTTGCAGAACATAGTGATTTCATTCATCAAGTTATTGAGCTGCATCCATTTTCCTACAAATGATTCAAATTTATCATTCTTGATGGCAGAGTAGTACTCCATTGTGTATAAATATCACATTTTCTTTATCCATTCATCTTTGATGGACATATAGACCACTACCAAGATTTAGCTATTATGAGTTGTGCTTCTATAAACATGGTTATGCATGTATCAGTGTGATATGATGTCTTTAACAACTTTGGGAAGACATCTAGAAGTAAAAGAGCTGGGTCGGGTGAAATTTCTAATTTTAGTTTTCTAAGGAATCACCATACTGATTTTCATATGTAGAAGGGTTCCTTTCTCCTACAACCTCACCAGCATTTGTTATTACTTGATTTCTTGATGGTAGCCATTCTTTTTGGAGTAAGATGGAATAACAGTGTTTTGTTCTTTGGTTTTGTTTTGCTTTTCTGAGACAGGGTCTCGCTATGTATTTTAAGCTGGCCTTGAACTCACTATGTAGCCCAGACTGGCCTTGAAATCACAGTGATCCACCTGCCTCAGCCTTCCAAGTGCTAGAATCACAGGCATGCACCACCATGTCCACTATGGGGTTGTTGTAATTTCCATTTCTCTAGTGACCCATGATGTTGAACACTTCTTCATGTATTTATTGGCCATTTGTATTTCTTCTGAGAACTTCTGTTCATTTCAGCTGCCCATTTTTTTTGACTGGGTCTTCTATTTTAGGGGGCACTAATTTTGAGTTCTTTATATATTCTAGATACTAGTCCTCTGTCCAAAGTGTAGCTGGCAAAATTTTCCTCTCATTCTATCTCTCCACTCGGTTGGTCGCTTCCTTTGTTGTGCAGAAGGTTTTTAATTTGATATGATCCCATTTGTTGAGTTTTGATGTTATTTCTCATGTTCTATTCAGAAAGTCCTTGCCTGTCCCTATGTCTTCAAGAATTTTAGCTATTTTATCTTCCCGCAGACTACATGTTTCCATTTTAACATTTTGAATGTGCTTTGGGTTTTTCTGCATCCTCTATTTTGTCCCATTTATCCACGTGTTTATTTTTGTACTAGTATCATGATTTTTTAAAATCATTGTAACTTTGTAATATAACTCGAAATCCAGGATTGTGATGCCCACTGCTTTGCCCTTGTTACCCAGGACTGTTTTTGCTATTCCGGGTCTCTTCTGGTTCCAAATGAATTTTAGGATTGTTTTCTCTAGTTTTGTGAGGAAGACTGTTTGTTGGTATTTTGATTGGGATGGCATTATTTTGGAAGTATAGCCATTTTGACTACCTTAGTTTTGCCTATCCAGGAACAGGGGAGGTCTTTCCATTTTCTATTGTCCTCTTTGATCTCCTTGATGAGAGTACTACAGTGTTAGTTACAGAGATTCCTCTCTTCCTTTGTTAGGTTAATTCCTATGTATTTAATTTTTCTTGAAGCTATTGTGAGTGGTATTGCTTCCCTAACATCTTTCTTGGTGAGTCCTTTATTGATGTATTGAAATGTCCTTGGTTTTTTGTGTTGATTTTGTATCCTGCTAACTTGCTGAATTTATTAGTTCTAAGAGTCTTTAGGTGGAATTTTTTGGAACTTCTATGTAAAGATCATGTCATCTGGGAATAATGCTAATCTGAATTCTTCCTTTCCTCCTGGGTGTGAGGTTGGAAGTCAGAGTTTATTTAAGAGTTGTGTGAGGGGCTGTGTGTTTTGTTTTGTTGTTATCCAATTAGTGCAGTGCTGTTTATTAAAATGAGCACTTTTCCAACCCTTGGTTGTAGAAATGTCTTTGTTGTACAAAGATGGCAACTGTTTTCCCTGCCCCATTGCTCTGTCTAGCCTCTAACAACTGCAGCTTTAATGAGGTCTTGGCATTTTATTGTGTAGCTCCACTTTCCTCTCTCCATTCCCCCTGCCTACCACAATCTCCAGGGCTTCCACAGAGAAGGCGGACTCAGCAGGGCAGCTTGGAC